GGTCTGTGCAATCCTTCTGCCTAGTCCGCCATCTTGCCCCGCCCACTGATTTATATTTTTCACCCCAAGTTTAGAATATGCATCTACCTTGCAACACTCTTGACTTCCTCATCATTTAGAAGTTCTATAACTACAGTATTTTTTTCCATCTGTTTGCTTTGTAATTGTCCTCATTTCCCAATTGATGTCTCTAGTTATTTCCCAGTTGATGTCTCTAGTTCCCTGTTTATAATCTTCTAAGCTTATTTTCCTTTGGATACTTCCATAGTTGTGTTGGTTTTTGGGTTATGCCATCCTGTGTATTAATGGTCAATTGTTGTTTGCTATATTGATTCTCTGTCCAAAGGAATCCCTTTAGTATCTCTTATAAGGATGGTCTGATTTTAACAAATTCTCTTGCTTTCTGCTTATCTAGAAATGTCCTAATTTCACCATCATATTTGTGGGACAATTTTGCCGGGTATATAACTCTTGGTTGGAAATTTTTCTCCTTCAGGGTTTTATATACATGTTGTATATATATATATATATATATATATATATACACACACACATGTATATATACACCCTTTATAGGTAACTTTTCATTTCTCCCATACTGCTTTCAGGATTCTTTCTTTGTCTTTTGGTTTGATGAATTTGCTGATGATATATCTTGGTGATTTTCTTTTGTGGTCTATCCTGTTTGGGGTTTGTTGGATTTCCTGAATGGATATATTTTAATCTTTCATCATATCAGGGGAGTTCTTTTACAACAAATCTTTGACAATTTTCTCAGTGGTTTTATTTTTCTCTTCCTGTTCTGGAACTCTGATTACATGTAGGTTATTTTTTGTGATGGTATCCCACATGAATCTTAAGCTTTCTTCATTTTGTTTTGATTTTTTTTTTCCTGATTGATCTTTTTCCAAAGAAGCATTCAGGTATTTGTCTTCAATCTCATTAATTCTGTGTTCCATTGATTAGATTCTACTCCTTAGCCTTTTCAATGGGTTATCTATTTCTGAAAATATAGTATTCATCTTCTGGATTTCTACCTGTAGATTTTGTATCATTTCTAATTTTTTGTTTATTTTGTCATTTTGCTCTTGTATTTTGTTCCAAAATTATTCTAGGGTTTTGTCTGTGCTCCTTAATTTTGTCTGTGTTTTCCTCAATCTGTCTCTCAATCCTTTGAAGATACCTAAATATAATTATTTTGAATTCCTTATCAGGGAGTTCCAATGCTGCTTTTTCCTCAGGGATGTTGTTCTGGGACTATATTCTGGTCCTTTTTTTCTATTGCCTTATTTTGCTTTTTTGTGTGCACTGTGATGGTCTCTTGTCTCTGAGATATTGTGACTTTGTTGTATTTATATTTAATTGGTTATTGTATATTGAAATGATTCATCCAATATTTTTATTTTCTTTGTTTTGTTTGGATGTATCTGAGTAAGAAGGGTACTGTGCTCCCGTATTCACTAATTGGCAGCACTTATGGACTCACCAGCTGTCTCTTGGTGGGTGTGATAGAAAATGAAAGTGAGTGCAGACATATCTGCTGTTTGTATAGAGCAGTTAAGGGTGAATCAGGCTTTTATTGTTGGTTGTTTATTGTTGGACAGTTGGAGCAGAAGGATGTTGTGGCCTTCACTCAGTAAGTAGAGTTGCAGGAGGTGTGGGTGTGATTGGGTTGCACAGGCACTGCTGCTGTCTCCCACTCAGTTAGACAAAAACAACAATCAAAAAACCATAAAAAAAGTAAAAGCAAGAGGACAAAAACACACACCACATAGACACACAGGAACAATCACCAAAAAAAAAAAAAGAGGAAAAACAATAAATAAGTGAAAATATTTAAAGAAATACTTTAAAAATCCAAAAAGAAATATGAATAGTAAAAGTGGGAAAATAAAAAAAAAAAAAAAACACACACAGTGTCTGGGGAGAAGGTAATAAGAGAAAATAGAGTAGGAGAATAATGAAAACAATGGGAAAAATGCAAAAAGGAATGAGGAGAAGCACAAGAAACAAATAACTTGGGAAGGGAAGAAGAAATAATAATAATAAAAAGGGCAAAAATAAAGAGTAATATTAAAATAGACTAAAACAAACTAACTAAAAATAATAAAAACCTCTGGGTAGGGCAGGGTTGGGCACCCAGGCTCCGTCAGAACACACAGACTGGGATGGAACTTTCGCTGGCCCTGAAGGTAGTGGGAGCAAGAGATGGTCACACCTCCATTCACCAAGAGGGTGTAGGGTATAAAAGTAACAGGGAGAATATCACATCCCTCCCTCCAGTCCTCAGTGTCTAGTATGTCCTTTCTGTCCCTGGAAAGTGGAGCCTATTTTTAGGTCCCTGGAATCTGAGAGAAAACTGTCATTTTAAATATCCAAAATGGTTGAACCGCTTGTAAACATTCAAAATGGCTGTGCCCTCCAGACAGCCAAAAGTCCACAGCTCAGTTTGTCTCCTTCTTCACTGTTTCCCATTTTATTCACCAGCCACCAATGCAATACTCTCTGTAGTCCCTGCTAGCAAGGCTGATTTTTAGTTTAATTCTTAGGTCCTAACACCACTTGGCAATATCCAAGCTGTCTGTACCATCAGGATCACTGATGGACCACAGCTCCGTATGTCTCCTTCTTCGGTGTTTTCATTCAGGTTCTTCTACTAGTTGGAGTTTACTACTTCTGTATCTTTCCTTTCAAAGCTCAGGGCTCCAGGATTATCTTCTGTATCTGTGTTAATGGGTTCCTGTTTTCTTTGTTGAAGAGGGTCTGTGTACTTTGTCTGCTGATTCTGTCACCTTACTAGAATTCCTTCCCTGTGGCTTTTTGAAAAAGTTCTTATCAAGGGGAGTATGACAGCATCAAGTCCATCACTTTAAACATTAAGCACAGTCCTCAAAATGAACAAAATTTACAACATGTAACAAAAAAAGTTATGACTCTATGTACAAAGAAGAGGAGTGTACAATCTGTTGAAAAACATTGAATTTTTACTTTAAACAAATTTATGTGATTTTTTTTTGAAAGAAAGTTAGAAAATCTTCCTTAAGATGAAGAAGAATGAAAACTTTAGAATGCAAACACTGAAATCTTCATTTTGGCCTTGAAATCCTATGTACTCTTATAGTTTCTCTCCAAAAGTTAACATGTAATGGGTGATCCTGAGTGTTCTTACCTGAAATACCCAAGTGATAGCCAGTAGTGAAGTTTGCTTTAAAGCCCCCTCTTGCCACCAGATCATCAGTGATGAAAAGCACAGTCATTCTGTTGGTGTTAGAGAATACATCCTTTAGGGGACCAGGTCCTGAGTACACAGCTACTCCAAAAGAAAACAAGAAAATCAGTGAAATGATCTTTTGCATTTAGAAGAAAATATACTTCTTATGTCAATTCCATCTTCTAGTCTTAGGGTTGCATGTAACCTGGCTCATGAAGCAGCCACATGTAAATAACTGTTTATATTATTTTACATTTTGGACCTTTCTTCTAGGAAGACAACTTTAGTATTACTTGAGGCTTCTGCAGCTCAATACTGATGAATTACTCATGATACTAACTGCTGTTGAGTCTGATCCGACTCAGCAACCCCTCCTTGGGTGTCTGAGGCAGTATCACTACAGAAGTAGATTGCCCAATCTTCCTTCTGAGGAGTGGCTAGTGGGTTTCAACTGCCAGACTTCTGGTTAGCAGTCAAATGCCTTAAGCACTATGCCACCAGGGTTAAGCACCACTACTATTTAAGTACCTATTATTGCAAAATAATAATTATTTGCCTTCTTAAAGGAGACCTGTGGCACAATAGTTAAGTGCTTCACTGCTAAGTGAAAGGTTGGAGAATCAAATTTACCCAGCAGCTCTGAGGGAACAAAACTTGGTGATCAGCTTGCATAAAGGTTACAGTCAAGAAAACCATATGCCTGTTCTACTCTGTTATATATCATTACTATGAGTCAGAATTGATATTATGGCATCCAAGAATAATATAAAACAATGAACAATATTCACCCTTAGTAAATATTCCTCTAAATTTATTTGCTCTTTTTTTTGTGAATAAAGAATTAACTTAATCTGAACAAGTTGTTGCTGTTGTTAGATTCCACTGAGTCAGCTCCAACTTAAAGTGAAGGTGTGTACAACAGAATGAAACATTGCCCTATCCTGAACTATTCTCACAATCGTTATTATGCTTGTGCTCATCATTGTAGCCAATGTGTCAATCCATCTCATGAAGGGTCTTTTCACACACCTTAGTCTTCAAAGTGACATCTTTGCTTTTTCACACTTTAGAGTCTTTTGCAGCAGATTTCCCCAGTGCAATATGATGTCTGATCTCTTGACTGCTACTTCCATGAGTGTTGACCATGAATCCAAGTATAATGAATCATTGACAATTTCAATCTTTTCCCCATTTATCATGATGTTGCTCATTGGTCCAATTGTGAGGATTTTGTTTCTCTTTATATTGAGTCGTAATCCATATGGAAGAATGTAGTCTTTGATTTTCATTTGTAAGTGCTTTAACTCTTCTTCACTTTCAGCAAGCAAGATTGTGTCATGGGTATATAACAGGTTGTTAGCAGTTCTTCCTCCAATCTTAATGTCATATTCTTCTTTGTATAGTCTAGCTTCTCAGATTATTTATTTAGCCTAAAGATTGAATAAGTGTGGGAAAGACACAACCCTGATGCACACCCTTCCTGATTTTAAATCATGCAGTATCTCCTTGTTCAAATGACCGCGTCTTGGTCTATGTACAAGTTCCTCATGAGAACAATTAAATGTTCTGGAATTCCCATTCTTTGTGATGTTATCCATAATATGTTATTATCCACACAGTCAAATAACTTTGTATAGTCCATAAAACATAGGTAGACATCTTTCTGGTATTCTTTGCTTTCAGCTAAGATCCATCTGGCATCAACAATGATATCGCTCATTCCATGTTCACTTCTGAATCCAGCTTGCATTTCTGGAAGTTCTCTGTCAATATACAACTGCAACATTTTTTGAATTATTTCAGCAAGATTTTATTTGTGTGAGATATTAATAACATTGTTTGATACTTTGTACACTCTGTGGGATCACCTTTCTTTGAAATGGGCACAAATAAGGATGTTTTCTAGTCAATTGGCCAGGTAGCTCTCTTCTAAATTTCTTGGCATTAACAAGTAAGTGTCTCCAGTGCTGCATCTATTTGTTGAAATATCTCAATGGGTATTCCTGGAGCCATATTTTTTGCCTATTCCTTCAGTGCAGCTGAGACTTCTTTCTTCAACATCATTCGTTCTTGATCATATACTGCCTCCTCAAATAGACATTGACTAATTCTTTTCAATACAGTGACTCGACGGCACATAACAACAACAACAACAACAACAATGACTTCATATTCCTTCCATCTTCTTTTGATACTTCCTGCATCATTCAGTATTTTGCTCTTAGAATCTTTCAATATTGCAACTCAAGGCATGATTGTTTTCTTCAGTTCTTTCGGCCAGAGAAATGCTGAACATTTTTTTCCCTTTTGTTTTTCTAACTCTAGGTTTTTGCACATTTCATTATAATGTTTTGTTTTGTCTTCTCAAGCTGCCCTTTGAAGTCTATTCAGCTCTTTTATTGCAGCATTTCTTCCATTAGTTTTACCTATCCTACGTTGAATGGTAAGTTTCAGAGTCTCTTTGGACATCATTTAGGTCTTTTCTCCTTTCCTTTCTTTTAAATGACTGTTTGTCTTCTTCATATATGGTTCTTGATGTCATCCCAGTACTTGTCTGGGTTTTGGTTTTTGGTGCCCAGTGTGTCACATCTTTAGCTTCAACTTGAACATGCATCTATTCTACGTTCAGTCCTTGGCCTTATTTTGACTGATGATATTGATCTTCTCCATCACCACTTTCCATAGATGTAGTCCAACTGATTTCGGTGTATTCCACCTGGCGAGATCCACATGCATAGCCACTGTTTATTTTGTTGAAAAATGTATTTGTAATGAATAAATCATTAGTATTACAAAATTCTATCAGGTCATCTATGGTGTAATTTCTATCAGCTTAGCATAGACTTCTTCCATCAATACCATTGGCTGTATTCAATACCAAGGCCATATTTTCCGACTTCCAATGATTCTTCTTTTTTTATTCCTTCTACCTTTTGCTTTCCAATCCCCAATAATTATCAATGCATTTAGAGTGCATGTTTGGTCAATTTCAGACTGTATAAGTTGGTAAAGATCTTCAATTTCTTCATCTTTGACTGGTGCATAAATCTGAATATTATGTAGCATTAACTGGTCTTCCTTGTAGGTGTATGGATATTATCTATCAATAACAGCATTGTGCTTCAGGATAGTTCATGAGATTTTCTTTTTGACAATGAATGCAGCATCATTCTTCTTCAATTTGACATTTTCAACATAGTATATAATATGATTGTCTTATTCAAAGTAGCCAATATCAGTGAATTTCAGCTTACTAATACCTAGAATATCAATATTTATACATTCTATGTCATTTTGTGAAAACCTCCAGTTTTCCTAGATTCATACTTCACACATTCTATGTTCTGATTATTAATGCTCTTCTTATTAGCTGTTTCTTCCCATTTGAGTTGCATCCCATCAGCAAATGAAGGTTCTGAAAACATTGCTCCATCCCCATCCTTATGGCTGACTTTATGTTGCAGAGGTATCTCTTCTCCAGTCACATTTTGAGTATCTTGCAAGTTGAGGGAAGCATTTTCTGGCACTATATCAGACTATAATACTTCATGGCTATTCATGAAGTTTTTCTGTAATATATCAGACAATGCTTCACTGCTATTCGTAAAGTTTTCAGTGGCCAGTTTTTTCAGAAGTGGATGACCCTGTACTTCTTCCCAATCTCTCAGCTGGAAGCTCCACTGAAACATGTTTACCAATAGTGACCCTGCTGGTATGTGAAATACTGGTGGCATAGGTTCCAGCCTCACAGCAACATGCAAGCCACCACAGTAGGACAAAGTGACAGAAGAGTGGTGAATCTGAAGAACAGATGAATTGAAAATAGATAATATAAATGTGAATGATGATTTTCAAGTTTTTGCCCATTAATTCTTGGAATTTTTGAGTTTTGTAAAAAATGATACACCCTTCACTTAAATAAATGCATAAATTAATTATAAAATACATTCATCTTTTTAAATGTTTGCACTGTAATTTCTGAAAGCAATGCTGCTTCAAAAGAGCTTCTTGCCTACCCATTTGAAAGCTATGATTTCACGATATCCTTTGGGAATTCTTATTTAATTTTCAAAGATTTATGTAAATATTAAGAGGTAGAATGATGAACATCAAGTTTTTTTATATGATAACATCAAATTTTTTATTTGAAGGAAAATGTAATCTGGTAATGAGAAATTTACTCAAAATATGTTCACAAATGTGCCTATAAAAATCATAGTTCTTGCCAGCCTTCTAGACCTGTTTTCCAGGCAAAGAAGCCCTCTCCCTGGTCCTTGCCCCACTTGTGGGAAGAATCTCAATGAATGAAGGATCTGTAGGCAGGATTGTCCCAGGCAATCCATGAGCAAATGGTGGTGTTCAGCGGTGGCTTGACAAACTCTACCAAGCTCCAATCATATAAGCACACAAGGCTTTATTGAAAGCAAAGTGTGTTTGAGAGGGGAAACAGACCTCTCTCTGTGAGCGGGAAGGGCTGTTAAAAGCAAAGGGCATCTCCAGAAGAGTGGAGATGGGTCTTTCCCAGGGAATGGGAAAGATGCCAAACTGTTTCACTTATTGGTTTTGATACTTCCTGAAAGGGGCATTCTTAAGGCAGGGCACGGCTTCTTATGCCAGGATCCTGTGACCCTGATTAATTGACCAAATCTCACAAGTGGTCAGGAACAGTTGCTGGTGTTAGCTCATTAACCTCCTTAAATATTCTGCAGTCTATGGTCTGCTTAATTTTAATTGGCCAAATCTCACTGGGAGTTGTGAGTGGTTACAGGTGCTAGCTCATTAATATCCTACCTCTTTCCCTTTTCTCCTCCCTTCAGGCCTGCTCCCTGGGCAACCTTCCTGTTTTACTTTCCTGCTTAACTGGCCCACACAAAACTTCTATTGTTTACTCCATTTGTTCTGTATCTGGCCCTCAAACTTTATGGAAGCACAGGAAGTTTCACTCTCGAACTTTTTGGGACGTTTCTGAAGAACCCTATATAAGTGGTAATGGATTGTTCAAGACTGGAGAATCCTCTGTACTACCTTGTCTCTTCATGTGCTGTAGAAGGTTTCTTCTGGAATCTTCAGTTAGTTCATGTGATTGCATCGCCATGGTTAATAGGCCAGATTTTATAAGAAATGGTTAATATGAGTCCAAACCACAGTTAGATAAAACACTTTTCCTCCTAAAGTGCATTATTTCATGTATTCCATTTAGTCCTTCAGCATCTTCATAATTTCATGTATGACTTGCAAAAGCCACTTCTTCCTTAAATATTAATTGCTAGCTAATCAGCATATTAGCTATTACATTTAAGTGATAGTTTATATATATATATACATAGATATGTGTGTATATATATTATAAATACATATATGTGTGTATATAAATATATATCTCATATATATGTGTGTATATATATATATATATGATATAAGGAGCTCCGGTGGCATAGTGCCTAAGGCATTTGACTACTAACCAGAAGGTTGGCAGTTCAAACCCACCAGCCGCTCAATGGAAGGCAGACCAAGCAATCTACTTCCATAAAGATTTACCACCTCAGAAACCCAAAGGGGGTCACTATGAGTTGGAATTGACTCGATGGCAGAGGGCTTATATATATATATTGAATTGCCCCACAGAGTTTTCTTTATGGAAGCACACTATCTCATCTTTCTCCTGCAGGGTGGCTAGTGGGTTTTAACCTCTGACTCTTTTTTTAGCAGCTGAATACTTTAACCACTGTACCATCAAAGCTTCTTTTTAAATATAGTTTTCATGCATTTTCTGATCTAGGCCCCCAAATTCCTTCTTTTAAAGGGTATACTTTTTTTCTGTTTTTATTTAAAAATACTATCAATACACAAATTGATCAAATTAAATCAATTGTGGTCAATTTTTTTTTATCACACTCACATATTTATATAAAAACATATATTATGAGGGATGTAGCATATCCAAGTAATTATAAAATTTAAAGTAAAAATATTTTAAAAAGTATACATATCAAACACATAGTTTTATTAATTTAAAGTAAATAAAAAAACAGATTTAATAGGAATCTGTGGATGTCTGATGTAAAGTAATCAAAGGGAAGTGTCCTCAGCTTGCCTTTAGTTCTTTTTCTCTAAGACTCTCTCTGCTTACTGTTGTTGTTGTTATGTGCCGTCAAGTCGGACCCAACTCATAGCGACCCCCTCCTTGGGTTTCCAAGGCAGTATCACTATGGAAGTAGAGTGCCCCATCTTCCTTCCGAGGAGTGGCTGGTGGGTTTGAACCTCCAGCCTTCTGGTTAGCAGTTAAGTGCCTTAGGCACTATGCTACCAGAGCTCCTGCTTATTGTAGTGGTAGGAAATGATGACTCAAAAGATATTAATCCTAGTTTGTCAAGAAATCTCAAGAATAATCTTTTCTTAAGTCAGCAGTGTAAACATGACCCCACATTGAAACTTCATCTAAAACTCAACATGTTCCCCTACTATTGTAATTTTATTTTGCTGATTTTCAAAACCTGATTACATTTATTGAGAAATGCTTTATTATTCCAAAATCTTAAGGTACACAATCTTCCATTCAGTACAGTATATGAATTGCAAATATTCACTTACCTAAGAGCAAAGAATCATCTCCTCTACCATCTCTGATTTCAACTACATCTGCAATATTTTCTAAATCAAATTCTTGAAAATGGAGTTGTATATTCTTTCCGTTTTGTGCGTTTAAATTCCAAATACCTTAAAAGTAAGAAATAAAAACACTTAGTTTAGAAATCACTCCATTGGATTTTTCCTAAAAGTTTCACTCTGTTGTGTATTTCATATCACTTTTAAGAATATTTTCCATTTCATGAAAAACAATATTTCAAGTTGTTATTTTTTTGAGGAAATATATTAGTTAAATTAGGCATATCAATATAAAATTTTAATTAAATTTGAAACACTTATTTTTAATTGAATTTGTTTTATGTTACATAAATGGAATACTTTAGGAAAAGCTTGCAAATAGTCCTACTCATACGAGACTTTATGAATATCAAAATGCATTAATATTCTAGTTCCATTCATATATTTTTTAAGATCAATTTTTTTTTTTTTTTAATTAGTGGCTAAAATGTGATTTGTAGGGAAAGTAAATTTTCTTTATGTTTTGTTTTTTGCATTTCTATATATTTTGTGCTGGTATCTCATTTGAGAACAAAATAAAGCACAAAATAAAACAAAATTACTATCTTTAACACCAATTTAGCATTACTTCTTCTTTATTAATGATTGAAAAGTTCTTATGGAATAAAATTTTATCTATATAATGATGACTTCTGCATTTTTTGTTTGGGAAGACATAATTATCCTATTATTTATTTGATGTTAGTATCTCAAACCCAACATGTTCTAAACAGAAAACAGGATCATTCATCTCTTTCCCAAACTCACGTCTATTCTTTTCCTTCCTATCAAGTGAACTTATGTCTCTTGAGTTCCATTGACTTCTCAATTTCCATTGCTAATATCTAAATTCAATGCACTGTCATTTCTCATCTCTTAATTGTTGATGCTTATGTCTCATTCCCCTTATCCATGACGCTATAGCCAGATGGAGCCATCTAAAACGCAAGATCGATTTATCACTACCTTCCTGTAAATCATTCAAAGTCTCCCCAGTGCTCTCAGAATAGAGTCTAAACTGCTTAACAAGGTTCAAATCCTCACACATTCAGTTCCACTAGTTAGCATTATTTAATTTTGTGCTTTGGTTGGAAATTCATGGAAAAGTCATTGTCTTCCATCTCTGACCCTTTGCCTGTTGAATAGTTCTTTGTTTCCCTCCATGGTGTCCTCCTTTTACCCTTGTAATAATAGTACCTTGGACATTTTGTGGCAGCTCTGGTAGCATAGTGCCTAAGGCACTTGACTGCTAACCAGAAGGCTGGCAGTTCAAACCCACAAGCTTCTCCTTGGAAAGAAGTTTGAGTGATCTACTTCTGTAGTGATATCACTGGAAACCCAAGGAGGGGTGCTATGAGTTGGAAAAGACTAGAGGGCAGTGAAGTTGGTCTGGATTTGTACTTATTTCAGTGCCTTACAAATAAAAGGTGTTCATTAAATATTTTTGAATAAAGCAATAAGTTTAATAAATTTCTCCACATTGTTGCTTTAAAGTTCCACTGCATTTGGATTTTCTAGATCATTACATGGTATAAATGACCTGTTTAAAAGAGGTCTTCTTTGTAAAATAGAGATGATAATCTCTGTTTCCCTAGACAAGACAGAAGACTAATAGATGTTTATTTTCTCAGATCAGATAGCTCTGGGTAATAGTGACCCTATTTCCTTATGAAAGTAACACCTACTTATCTCTGGATCCTTTGGAGACAGGAAAAATGGGCATGTTTAAAAGTACATTTTTTACTGCCATTGGAGCAGTTCTTTCATTTGCAGTATTTTCCATTTAGATTAGAGGTCCTGACCAGGGGTGGACACAGTAAGAAAAACTCTGCTACCCAACCTAGATATACTGGAGTGGAATCAGTGAGATGGGCTGGAGAACATACAGCCTTTACACAATCCCTGTGCAGCTCTAATGAGCTTCCCTATGAAAGAATATTAACCTAGAGATAGCTTTGGTTCAATTTTAGCAAACTATTTTCTCTAGACCTAGATTTTGTACTGATCCTCCTTATTATTTATTCTACCTCTGTACTGGGAATCTTATCACATTACTCAAGCTGTCTGATTTATTGACTCTAGCCAATATTTGCAAAAAGTGTTGATATTACAATTGACTTTTAGTTTTTATACTTGCCACTGACTTTTTTCTATGGAATTGCAAGTTCATAATACACACACTAGACTTATGCATGCACAAGGTGAGTAACAAGAGAATAGCATTTGGCTCTTTCTATTACTGGTTCTATTCTAGTTTTCAAACTGAAAGTTTTACTAGTCACATTTTAAGGAATTCCTGTGAGAAATAGCTAAAATAATGTATAATAAGAGCTAGAATATTGTCCATAACATAAATGGTAAAAAAAAAAAAAAAAAGTTAGGAATTATTATTGTTATCATTATAGTAAGTAATCCCATAGATTAGGTGGCTGTATCCATGTTTGAAGGAGCTCTGGTAGTGTAGTGCCTAAGGCACTTGACTGCTAACCAGAAGGCTGGCAGTTCAAACTCACCAGCCACTCCTCAGAAGGAAGGTTGGGCAATCTACTTCCATAGTGATACCGCCTCCGAAACCCAAGGAGGGGTTGCTAAGAGTCGGGTCCAACTCGACGTCACATAACTACAACAACAACAGCATCCATGTTTGAACAATGATGTCACTTTGAAGATTAAGGTGCTCCTGACCTAAACCACCATATTTTCAAAAGCCTCGTATGCATGTGATAGTTGAAAAATGAATAAGAAAGACCACAAGAAGAATTGATACTATTTAGTTATGGTTAGCTAAGATTATTGAATGTACCCTGGACTACTAGAAGAATTAACAAATCAGTCTTGGCTGAAGTACAGCCAGAATGTTCTTTAGAGGCAAGAATGGCCAGTCTTTGCCTCTCAATACTATGGTCACGTTGTCAGACTAGACCATTCCCTGGAGAAGGACATCATGCTTGGGAAGGTAGAAGGTCAGAAAAAAAGGGGAAGACCCTCAATGAAATGGATTGACACAGTGGCTGCAACGTTGAGTCAAGCATAGCAACAATTGTGAGGATGGTGCAAGACTGGGTAGCAATGCTTTGTTCTGTTGTACATAAGGTCACTATGAATTACAACCAACTCAATGGCATCTAACAACATCCATGTTTGAAAAATTTGAATTCATTTTGGTGTCACAGGGGATATATAACAGTAACATGGGCATTTGTTACTCATAACCTGGAAAAGAAATAACTCACAGAAAGCTTGATTAGGATAGTTATTTGGAAAGTTCATAGAATTGAATGTTGTATTTGGCTCCCACAATTCATAAGGTCCTCCACAGTCTGCTGAAAAGGAAAACAGAGAAAAATTGTTAGTAATCCAATATTTATTTCAAAGAGATAACATTATATACTGGCAAATTTCTAATTGAATTTATTGGAATGCTACTTCTAACAGATATTTTTTTGTAGTTTACTACATGTAAATTAAGATGAAAAGAATAAAGATAACCTAATTTGAAGAATATAGAAATTTGAAATAAAAATTCCTCTATTGTTCAGGAGATGATACTCAAATTATTTACCTCAATCAGTTAAGAATAAGATTATAGACACTATAATTATGTCTCTACCTCTATGTGAGTGATCTCAGTCATACCATATTCTTTAATCACTCTTTTACAGATTATGTGCCTTATTTATTAAGGAGCTTTGATGGCATAACCAGTAGGATATTTAGTTACTAACCAGAAGGGTGAAGGTTTGAACCCAACAGCTGCTCCACGGGAGGAAGATGAATCAATGTGCTGTAAAGATTTACAGCCTTGGAAACCAAAGGGAGCCTCTATGAACTGGTATCAACTTTTTAGCAGTAGGTTTGGTTTTTTGGTTTATCTTATGTATTTATATACTTTGGAATTCATATGCATCTTCCAAATTTGCACATAACAGACTTATATTTAAGATTTATGATGCATATGATGGAACGAAAGGAGCAGTTGTCTTACTCAGGTGTGGTGTCATTACCAATTTATGCTATCTATAAGGAGAATGAGCATGGTTTGTTTTATAAAATCTCCTGGTTTGTCCAGTTTCAGATGAACTCTTACAGCTTAGCAAGAATATTGAAACTTACAAAACCATATGGCTTACAAAGTGCTTCCATGTAATAAAATGAGAGTGTGTCAGAGATGGTAGATTAAAATAGTACTGAGATATTTAATATTTCTGAGACTTTCTGTGTGTGTGTGTGTGTGTGTGTATATATATATATATATATATATGATATATTAGTGTATTTTAATTCAAATAACATGCACATTATATCTTTTTTTGCAAACCACACAAACCCCTTACATGTTAGTTTCTTATGTGAGCTACACACATTACATGTGTGTGCACATTATTTGTGTGGGGATGTTATATGCAAAAAATACAGTGTGTATGTTTAAATTGTATATTTATTTATTTTATATTAGGGATTTCCTCAGTAGTTGTAGTGATCAGAGATACTTTAAATGAAGGTCTTACACATTACCTGTACAGAGAGGGCATTTTCAAAATATCTATGTGGAATAGTTTATTATTATTATTATTTTCATTTAAAATGGACAACCTAAGGTTTGGAGATATTCTATAACTTGCTTAGGGTACACATCTACTTAATATCAGAATCAAGGCTTCATTCCAGTTAATCTCAAGCTTATCCCACCCAATGTTACTGTCTCATACTGAATTATTTCTATGACTCATTTCCAAAATCTAATCCAACTCATAGGCATGGTTTAGTTTGAGTCCCAACAAGTGGAAATTGATAGGTGCGTAACCAAGAGAAGGAAGGCAGAAGAGAATACATACTAAATCACTACTAACTCAGGTCACTGATTATTGTCTCTAGACAGAAGAAAGCCATATACATGAGATACTAAGGAAAGCATATGAACCAAAGAAATAAGGCCACATGGGGAATAAGGACAAGTTCATCACTGAAAAAAAAAAAGTGAGAGAACTGCTCAATGTATGCTCCCACAGCAGCTGTTCATCAGAGACTGATGCTCACCTTGATTATCTAACTGATCATTTTGCAAAGATTCATTAAGAAGAAATTCCCACAATCCTCCTCCTCCCCACATAACTGATTTAATTTTAATAAATTTTAGCCACCATGAAATGCTGTCTGTATTTCTCAATGAGGTTAATGGGGAAGGGTAATTTGAAGGACAGAAATACGAAAACCACAAACCAAACTCACTGTCCTCAAGTCAGATCCAACTCACTGAGACCCCTCCTTGGGTTTCCGAGGTGGTATCATTACAGAACTTGATTGCCTAATCTTCCTTCTGAGGAGTGGCTGGTGGACTTTAACTGCCAGCCTTCTGGTTAGCAGTCAAGGCCTTAGGCACTATGCCACAAGCAGAAGGCTACCTCTTCTTATTGCATCAATTGATTATGGCTAGTGTGGCCAGCGGTGCTTTTGTTTGTTTTATTAAAAATATTCTAATTTTCCCTTCAAGAAATAATGTTTTTTTGCATAATAGTATATAAAAATATTGCTGTATGTCTTACTTTGATGAGTAATGACTGAGGTCTTAAACCTTCATAAGTGAACATCTAAGATGCAACTATTGGTTTCTCTTTGTCTAGAGTAAAGAAGATTGGAGAAAATCAAAGATGTATGGAAATAATTAATACAAAGGACTAATGGATCATGAAAACCTCAGCCTATATGACCTGAGACCAGAAGGACTAGCTGGTGCCTGACTACCAATGCCCACAACTAGAAAAGGGATCAAAATTGGAGATCCTGTATAGAGTGGGAGAAAAAATGTGGAAAAAATTTGGGAAAAAAAAATTTATAAAGAAGAGCAGGTTTACTGGTCAGGTAGAGACTGGTGGACCAGAATCACCCTTCAGGCCTGGAACTGAACTTACTCCCATGGCTTAACTCTCAGGCAAACAACAGATAAGTCTGTGAGCCTTGTAATATATATAACTATATATATATAACTCACCAGGGGAATGTAATTCTTAAAACAATCAACCATGGGACATCAGAAGGGCAGCATTTGCACACGAAAAAGGTAGGGAAGTAATAATGCCTATATAGGCAAGAAGGACACAAACTAAGGGTAACCACAAGGAGGAAGTAGGAGGAGAGCTGTTACAAAGCAGGGAAAGTAATCAGTGTCACAAAACAACATGTGTATGAACTGTTGAATGTAAAACAATTCTGATTTGTAAAATTTCATCCAAATCACAAAAAATTATATATTAAAAAAAATAAGTAGGAAGAATTTCTACATCACTTACTACTCCTAATATACCTACATGACATAATTGCCTACATTTTAACAAGTGCATTGCATTTTCCCATAAATGAACAATTAACATTATGTTAATATATAAATATGAGCAGTTGGATTTATTTAACACATAACCAGAACTCAAATGTTTTCCTGTATAATTGTTAAGGTTATTGAGGCAAGCAGTTTACTTGACACTTCTCCAGTACACAAATGTCTTGGAAAATTCATTTCTTTAAAAAACTTAAGAAGTACTTTTTGAAAAGCATTTCAAATATAATTTCATATGAAATTACTGACCAGTAAGAGCTCTCTGATCTTTGGAATGGTTAAAATGTATCAGTTATACTCTGGATATAAATGACTGGAAGAAAATGGCAAAAGCACTTTAAGCCATTTTAAATATGATGACACACTTTATTTTAATGGTGGCTGTTGCTATACAGGAGACATTGTACGCGCATCTTAATAGAGAAGCCAAAGACTCATGAAATATAATTCTGGATATCACAGTCATACTGTGTCATTAGATAAACTGTCCTCACCCAGAGAGCAAGACTTAAATAGTCTGTTATAGAGAACGCTATTCATTTACAGTTGTTAAATTCTTTCATTTTTCTCTTTCTTGTTGCTGTTTTCAAAAAGATTTATATTCTAATTTCTTAGTATGTCAGTAGGAATTTTCACTACATACAATATGTAAAAACATGCAGTATATTGGCATGGATAGATATTTTGCTACAACCATGATATTTTTAAATGAATGCTTAAACCTCTGCTATGAGGTATGGGTCAGTTTGAGGCATTTACCGTGGTTGGAAAACAGGAGAGCCCAGCTTTTACTAAAAATAAAAAATAAAGAAAAAAAAATAACAAAAAAAACTAACTCACAGCCATGGAATAGATTCTGACTCATCGAGACCCCCACTTGAGTTTCCCAAGTGGTAAATCTTTAGAGAAGTAGATTGCCTCGTCTTCCTTCTGCTGAGTGGCTGGTGGGTGTGAACTGCCAACCTCCTAGTTAGCAATCAAAAAGCCTTAGACTCTGCACCACCAGAATTCCTTTTACTGAAAATAAGAGGGTTCAAATAAAAGATAATTAGGATAAAAGAAAAAGGCACTTGTGGCACTGTGGTTAAGGCATTGGGCTGCTAACCAAAAAGTCAGCCGTTCAAACCTACTAGCTGCTCCAAAGGAGAAAGATGACACAGTCTGCTTCCATAAAGATTTATAGCCTTGGACACTCTATGAGTCAGAATTGACTTGATGCAGTAGGTTATGAAAAAGCAAGTAATGATGGGCTACTAAGACTTCAAATTTAAGAATACAGTAAATATATATTTTTGATTGGTATCATTACATGAGGGAAATATAGCTGTAACTTGAGAAATAACATCTCACATTAATGATGTTTGAATATGTTTAAAGTGGACAATTTTCAAAATCATCAATCATTTTTGATGATCCTAGTAATTGAGCTCTGGTAGCATAGTGGCTAAGGCACTTGACTGCTAACCAGAAGGCTGGC